TAACGTCGGCCATCTCCAACCTTTTTCCTGCGCATCCTGTAATAATTGAGCCCTCTCTGGCCAGTTAGAGCAGCTGACTCATAAATATCGCTTAAGCAGAAAAGATAGAAGGACCGGGATGGTGCTGGCTCTCTACAATAGGCAAAAGCAGGAAGTAGGGCATGGTTAGGCCTCCCTGGTTAGTGTCTGGGCTCTGTTAACCAGCTGCTTCCTTCTTTGGGGTAACAAGTGTGACCTTGACTATTTTAGAACTGATGAGAATAGCCACCCAGGAAAGTGGGGGTGGGGAACTTAACTGAAACTAAATTTTATCTTTGGATACAAATTCCACAGGAGAGACTGCGTTAGTCAGGCATTTACTTCAGTTAAGAAAATCTGCATAAATCTGGGGGAAATGTAGTATTTCAAAAGTTGGTAAGTCTCTTAATTACTTGTCTTCCAGCTATGAAGCATCTCCTTAATCACTTGTCTTCTGCTATATTCTTTTATAATATACTTTGTAGGTTTTGTACATTAAGTAGCTTTCACTTGCAAGTTAGAATTATGACTATTGTCTTGCAGCACTTTAAATAGTTCCAAGAGTAGATGGAACCTGTGGTATATTTATTTGTGGATTGTGTGTCTGTTTTTTTAAGATGTATTCGTTCCTTTCTTGCACTTCCCCGTGTCTCCTATGGCTCTCTTGTGCAGGAAAGCAGACTCCATGTTAAGGACTTGAGTGTCTTAGGGGTTTCTTTGGGCTGGAGGTCCTCTTCCTTTGGGTCTCAGGAGTCGATGAGGGGCTTGCCAGCTCCGTGGAATCCCCAGTGGCCAGGGAGGGTGGGAAGGGGGTTCGTCCTTGTCCGTGGCATACAAGTGTTGGTGTGTGGCCTGACGTGTCGGTTTTCCTTGGCTCTTGCAGGGGTTGTGGGCGGCGTGATGGGGGCAGTGTCTGCCTCCTGGGTGCTCACTTTGCTCAAAGGGGCTGTGGCTTTCGGAGCCAAGTTGAACTCTCCTTCCAGTGGACTTCCCTGAGGAAGAGTATGATTTCTAACAGCTTTACACACCTACCACTCTTGTAGTACTTCTAGCTTACAGCTTAGGGATCTACCACTGTGCAAGTTGTTACTCAGAATGGAGGATGACTATTGTGGGCCTGTAGCTTACTACCTTGTTATGTGTTAATTTGAAAGTAATATGGTTGGTATTCCACACTTCTGTGAACCAGAGCAAATTACTTATTAGCAGTGTTGCTTCACTTTTCAAAGACTGTTACATAATCATTTACATCATAAATCTGAATTACATTAATCTCAAAAAATAGTGTTCTTTAGAATAACATGATGGCCGTATTGTAACAAAACACAAGTAGTAGCAAATAGAAAATTATTATTATTCTATATGGGAATAAGAAATAAAGATTACAACAAAATAATTTCCGAAAATCTGATGTCATGACTAAAAATAACTTACTATACATGCATTAAATAATACTGTGATTTTATTACAGTAGTCTTCTCTGACATCTCCACAGACACATAACAAATATGCATTTACCCCTCACTCTCATTATTTTCAGTCTCAAAAACTCAAAATGTTGATGAATTAAGATTAGGGAATTAGTAGCTATAAGAAATGAATTTTCTCTCTCTCTGGGGACAGTGATACTTTAAAGGTTGATAAAGCGTAAATTATGTGATGGACCTTGACCCCCCAGTGCGAGCGTCATAGAGGATACAGCCCTGCAGCGGTGGGCCAGGTGGATGCCAGTGCTGAACAAGGAAAAGAAGTGCAAATTCAAATCGCTTACCGAGGGCCAGCCAACTCTGTACATTTTTCCCTACTACCCTCACTACCAAAATCATTTGAAAAAACAAAACCAGAAACACCTTTGGGTTTTTTTATGCTATTTTTCATAATTCAGGATTTGTTTTTCTTTCAGAAAACTGAAGAGTGGGAGAAAAGTAAGACTGAAGCAGACATGGAGGAGTACATATGGGAAAACAGCCCCTCAGAAAGAAATGTCCTGGAAACTCTAATCCAAATCAAAGCTGCCGAGAGGAGCACGGAGGTGAACAAAGAAGCGCTCCTTGGGAGTCAAGAAGTTGAAGATTACAAAAAGGCTGTTGTCAGTCTCAAGAATGAGGGGGAATCTGAAAATGCCATTTCTCAGTACAAGGAATCAGTGAAGAGACTATTGAATTTGGCCTGAAGTTCAAAAAAAAAATCATGGTTTATTAATATTATTTGCATATCAGTAACTAATTTGATATAAAATAAAAATGTTTTAAAAAACTTTAACATCAAAGTTAGCTTTTTCATACTAAGGTGTGCAATAGCAGTGATTATTCAGAGATGCCCTTATTTATACACTTGGGCATTTAGACTAATCAGAAGGTCTGATTTCTTGTGGTTCAAAGTGTTTTACTTCATATATATATATATATATGATTATTATTTTGTTACCTGCTGTGATCTTTAGAAATGATCCCTAATTGGCTACGTTGACTAATCCTGTGTAGAAACTCCACCCAGAGCCCTGCAGTTGCGCTTTCTTCATTCCTCCTCTCTGCTGTCTCGTGCTCTCCTTGCTTCCCGGTGTGGTGCTGGGCCGCAGGAGGTGCTTTCCCGCTGAGCGTGCCCCTCCACCCCTCTGTCTTGGAGTCACTTTCTGTTGACTAGACTCTTGTTAAGGATAGATTAAAGTTGGGGAAAAGGAGAACTGCCTTAAAAATACTCCATTTACATGTTCTGCTAATTGAAGCTTTTATATTTAATTATAGAATGTTTGTTATTTGCCTAACAATTAGAGAACCTACATGAAAACCTAATGAAATTTCAAAATGGTTGCCTGGGAGGTGCTGTAAAATGAAGTTCTGGTTTGGTGTTAGTCGGGCCAAGGGTCTGTGGGTTCTAAAGTACACCAGTCTGGCTCTGGGGACTGCAGAGGGAGAACGGGGCGGGGCTGGAGTCCATGGGCAGGAATAACAAATGGGAAGAAGAGCAAGTGAAAAGCAGAGTAGATAAAAACAAGTTCGGTTCAGGTGGAGTGTCCAAGATCTCTGTCTGCAATGGCCGAAAGGTCCATGTAGCTGAGAGACTGAGGACTGGAGAGAGACCGGGCTGCTGGTGGAGACCAATGACGCTATCGTTACTGTTGGTTGATCCTGACTTGTGGTAGCCTATTACCCTCCCTAATAACCCCTCTTAATCGTATCATCCCTCGTTCCATGTGGCCATTCGAATAAATTGTGATGCGGCACAGGAATTGAGTGCTGTGATTGGTGTCAAAAAAGGGTCAAGAAGGATGAAGGATGTTGTCTCCACGGCCAGGAAGCTAGCGCCCTTTTTCTCTGCCCCACAGTTCCATAGTCTTGAGCCAGATAAGGGGAAAGATCGGGCAATCCAAGTGCAGCTGCTCTGAGTCTCCATGGCACAGTCTGGTGCGCTTCCCACAGAGATCTTGGACGTGCTCTTCCAAGTGACTTACTACGTCTCAGCTGGCTCTTATACACAGGAAAGGCTTTGATGGAGGTGTGGCTTGTCTCTTAGCTGACCATACCCTCTAGGAAGAGGAAGGATGCTGTGGTATTCCCACTCTGCTAACACAGTCTTAAAGATGCCCCCCAGGAAACAGGGTGTGGTGTGGTTCACACCCTCTACAAACACTTAAACCCCAACCATGGAGAGTCAATTCCAACTCTGAGTCAGAACAACTGCCCTTGCGAGTTTCTGAGACCAGCTTTGCAGGGGTTTTTCTCCCAAGGAGCAGCTGGTGGTTTCAAACTTTCAGATCTCAGGGGAGAGGGATGCCTCGGTCCTTGGCTCCATGCGAGAAAATTCACGCCGAAGCCTGGTTTGTGATCCCAGTGAGTTTTATGAGAGTTAGACGAAGTTTCAGGTTTACACAGCCACTCACAGGACCCCTCACCCGGGTAACCTCCCTAGAAGCAGTTCCGAAAGTCACACAGTCTTGTTATTCCTGGGAAGGTATGGGGGACTACCCTGGTTTACCCCGTTGGCTGAATTGAATTTACCTGGCTTAGGTGGGCCAATCCAGGTGCAGTACCCACCCAGGTGTGTGTACCTCCCCTTCCTGGCCAAAAGCCTGAACCGCTGAGCATGCGCAGTGCACCACTCCTTGCCAGTAGCTGGGACCTCTAAGCATGCGTAATGGACACCCTAGTCCCTAACAAAACTGCTTATCTTATAGTTAGGAGCCCAACTCATAGCCACTATGCTACCAGGGCTCCTCTACTAAGTTCAGGTTTTAATCCCACCCTAATCCTGTCCATTGGTATAATAGAGCATGTCCTCTAAAACAGGACTATAGCCGTAGGAGTATATCACATAAGTAATCATGGCTGGAAAGGCATATTAATTGACTCTGGGCATTTCATGGGAGAGCTGGGTGTTCTGACCACGGAGGTGAAGCTGAGTGTCGCTAGGTTGAGGCTTACAGGAGTGGGGGGCTTCTGGCCACTTAGAAGGGATATCCCCTCCAAAAGGGATTTTTTCCCCCAAAGATATTTATTTATTTTACAAAACAACCTTATCTCCTTCAAAGTACTCTCCATTACACTTAATACATTTGTCAAATCTACAATTCCATTTTGGAAACATTCTTCAAACATCTGTTTGGATGGCTGACAGCACCTCCCTCGTTTTTTTCTTCACCTCTTCTACATCCTCAAATCACTATCCTTTCATGTTTCTCTGCATTCATGGAAATAAAAAGAAGTTGCACAGAGTGAAATCAGGTGCATGGGGCAAGAGAGGCATGCTCTTTTTTGCCAAAATCTGGCACGCTGAAATTGTGTGAACAGGTGCATTGATTGTCTTGGCAAACCAGTTCCCTACCTGCCACAAATCAGGCCTTTTTTTTTGGTCAAACACTGTTGTGTAATATTTTCAGAACCTCTAAATAGAAAGCTTGATTAACAGTCTGACCTGGTGGAACAAACTCCAAATACACTCTCCTCACATCAAAACAAGTGAGCATCGTCTTGATCTTTCACTTGACGAGCTTTTTTTAGGTGAGGGGATGATGGCGTCCCACTGTCTTGATAGATGTTTGGTTTCACTATCATAAGAATAGCACCATGTCTC